AGGGACTCTCCGGCGTGCCGTTCGACGCAACGCGCCTCGAGGAGGAGGGCGCCCTCGCCTTCGTCGGAGGGGTGCGGCGCCACAATACTTATTCCGCGATCAGCGACACTAACCACGCAGGAAGGGTTTGGATATTTCTGTTTGACCGGGGCGGCAACAGACTATGGTAATTATGGTACAACGATGTTTGTCCTTCAGAGGCGAAGATGACCACTGACCTCAGGAATGTTGGAGGTTGGGTGAGTACGGAGGTGGCCGATTAGGCCGATCTTCGCACGGAACTGCTTACTACAGTGGGGGCAGGGAAAGTTTGGAATCAAACCAGGATGGAGGGTGGAACTGATGCGCTCCTTCCTTATCTGACGTCAGTGTTCCTTGACTCTGATGCGGTTATCCTTAAACTCATCAACACCAACTTTCACAAGGGATCGAAAAGCAGGACGGTCCTCAGCAGATACTGCCAAGGTGGCTTGGGAAATGTTGCATGCTTTTATAAAGGCCTTTACAGTGTCTTTGAAGTGCAGCTTTGGTCTGCCAAGTGCGCGCTTGCCAGAAATCAGTTCCCGTAGAGTAGTCACTTGGGGAGGCGACTGTCATCCATGCGGTGTAAATGGCTGGCCCACGGGAGCTGAGACCGCTTCAAGATGGCGCGAACGCTCTCCCTCTCAGCACGCTGGAGCACTTCAGTGTCAGGAACTTTATCCTGTCATTTGACTCGTATCAGAGTTCTGAGGCATCTCATGTGGAAGGCATTGATCTTCTTAGGGTGCCGGCTGTAGACGATCCACGTTTCACAGGCATAGAACAGTGATGGTAAGATGATTGCTCTGTAGACTTTGAACTTGGTGTCCTGGCTCAGTCCTCTCCGCTCCCAAACCTTGTCTTTAAGTCTGCCAAAGGCAGCACTGGCTCTGGCGAATCGGTAGGACACCTCTTCGTCGATGTTAACTGAGCAGGACAAGGTGCTTCCAAGGTAGACAAACTTGTCTACTGCAGGCAATTTCTGGCCGTTAACGGTGATATAAGGCTCAGTGTAAGGGGCTGAGGGGGCTGGCTGATGCAGCACTTCTGTTTCCTTAGTAGAGATGGTGAAACCAAATTCCTCGCAAGCTTTGAAGAACAGATCAATGCTGCCTTGCATCTCTGATTGCGAACTGGCATTCAGTGCACAATCGTCCGCAAACAGGAAATCACGGGCAGTGTCAGTGTGCACTTTAGTCTTAGCTTGAAGTCTTCGGGGGTTGAACAGCTTACCGTCAGTGCTGTATCGAAAATCGACACCAATGTCGCTGCTGTGGAAGGCATCAGTCAGCACGGCAGTGAACATTATGCTGAACAGGGTGGGCAGCACGCAGCCCTGCTTCACCCCATTGGTGACTGGTAACGGCTGGGAATGCACTCCGTCTTTCTGAACTCTTGTGCTCATGCCATCGTGAAACTGCTGGACCATTGAGATGAATTTGGCGGGGCAGCCGAACCTGGCCTTGATCTTCCACAGGCCCTCACGGCAGACGGTGTCGAAGGCTTTTGTCAGGTCCACGAAGGTAGTATAGAGATCAACGACACTTTTCCTGTAGTTGGCGAGCTGTGAAAATCATGTCCACGGTTCCACGACCCGCACGAAATCTACACTGGCTCTCATACGGAGCAGAACAGGCTGGTGAGGCTCTCCACGAGTTTTGATCCACCAGAGGCATATATATCGGCTGGATCATTGAGGTGAGCTCTATGGAGTCAGTGTTTCTCCTCCTGTAGAGCCTGGATGTGAGTGTTATTGTAGTCAAACCAGTCCTGGTGTTTCTGGGTCGTGGGCCCCAGCACGCCTGAGGCATCAGCATAGACAGCATCACGGAGACGAGCCCACTCTACTTCCACGTCATTGTCTTGGTCTATATCGAGTGGCGGTAGTTTGCGCTCAAGTTCCTCTATCAGTTCTTGCTTGACAGTGTCACTCTTGAGCTTAAACACATTCAGTCACTTGGGAACTTTTGTGTTTTGAGGCCTCCTGGATGGTGTGATTCGGAGGTTCAACTTCGATACCAGCAGACGATGGTCCGTCCAGCATTCCGCTATGGTAACTATGGTACGATATGTATTATTCATATCACTGGAGTGATATCGGCGGAAGTTATGCAAATAACCTTCAACCTGTCAATATGCTTCACATTCACGAACGACGTTTTCAAACTGAAATATCAGCCAATTTTTAAGATCCTTTGCGCACTTACAACCCTTCTATAGTCTGTGGCAATAGCTAAGAGATGATGATGAGCGATGCGATGAGCGCAGATAATCGAACTACTTGAGCCTAGCCAGTTCATTTTTGTCGTGTCTGGCATTGTCGCTGGCACACGGTAAACGGTCACGATGAATGATGTCTCCGCTCGCTTTAGTACTGTCAGTTTGGCCCATTTCTCCCCCAAACTAGAAATTTACAGGCTGAAGGCTCGACAAATATCTGAATATGGGTAGTTGTTATGGAAAGAGTTCCATACGGACAACACTTGATGCCCCTATGCACAAACCAGTGAGACTTGTCTGAAAAAGGTGTTTTCTAAGTAAAATGTTTGGGAGCTAGATTTCTTAGCTAAATTTCACTTTTAGGACATGGTATCACTTTCTGTTACATCATTTTAAGGAAAAATTACTGTGTTTCAGTATATGGAACCGTTTTTCTAAAAAATATAATTTATTAGCGTATCTTGAAGGCATGTTACAACCACCTAAACGTTGCATTTAACGCCGGAGGTTTTCGGCCTTCGAGATTGAGATGCCATTTTTGTTTTCAGTTCTAGGTTGTGTGATGTCATGAACTGGTATAAATGATTCAATATAAGTCTCAAACAAAACTGTTGATTGGCTCCCCAGAAAGTGGGGAAAAACAATGAAAATCGTGATTACTGCCGAACAAATGTGCAAGACTATAGACAACAGTAAGTCAGGGTAGACAAGACGTAGCGAGGCGGACAAAGTCTCACGATGATTATTAAGGATGGAAGGCGTAAGCTGATAGGCCTAGTTTAAAATTGTAACGGATTCAATTGAATATTTTTCTGACTTATGTTGGTAACAAGACATAATGTGCAAGTCCAAGTCAAGTCACAAGTCAGTTCATGCTAGTCCATGTCAAGTCACAAGTCAAAAACTGATAGTTTCAAGTCAAGTCATGAGTCACAAAAACAGCGAATAGAGTCCGACCCGAGTCCAAGTCAAGTGGTTCGAGTCTACGATTCTGCAGGAAAGTTTAAAAAAGACCATGTTCATGTACCTACAGACCACCAGGAAAGCTTTCGAAAGTTTTAACGCCTATCACAATTGATGAGGGGCTTTTTTATGCTGTCTTTGCCTTCCCCAAGTAACAATTTACCTCAAGATCTATCAAATTAGCAGTAAGTTTTTAATCATGGGTTTTGCCCTTACCCGACGTACATATTAACACTCAGTGCTTCTCCGATAGCTTGCCAAAAAACTCACAAGCTTAATCGGGTGGGACTCGAACCCACGACCTCTAGCTTGCTAGTGCAGATAGCTTAACTACTCGGCCACCGAGCTTGCAGGTCCGAGTCAGATGTAGCGGTGGGTACCGCAAAGTATTTCAAGATGTACTTTTGCATCGGAGATATGTTAATTTTTAATTACGGCTTTTGTCCGTGAATTTTTTGCAAACTCTCGGACAAGCACTGAGTATACAGTATTTATCGATATATACGTCGGGTAAGGGCAAAACCCGTGATTAAAAATTAACATCTCCTTGACGCATAAGTACATCTTGAAAAAGCAGTAAGTGCTTTTTACAATTACCCAAAAAGCTGTTTAGTTTTCCCGGAGTTAACTCACCTCTGACGTGAATGGAATGTTTACAGCTACGATGACTTCACTTGTAGCAATGACATTTCTCCTGTAACCGGTGAAGAAGTTTCCATCCATGGTTACTGTGTGGGAACCTAATTAAAAACAGGACAAAAACCCAATCAGGACTTGCTATCTGCTCACAGCTTTGAAGTAGAGTCCAAGGGTACTTCATGGTGAACTTTCTCGCTCATTCAGTAATCCATAAGTAAATCCGCGGCACACATTGTAAAATTGTGCATTTTTATATAGTTCCTGTTCCGGGATTGATTTTCAACCACTCGTCTCAAAATAAAATAGTTTCCAAATGTTCCATTTCAAAACTAACATTCAACAGTGACAAAAATGATCCTGACACGTTTGAGTTGTCTTATGAAGTTCAATTTTTCAATAAAAATGTTTCTTCTGTTGACAGACTGGATATATTTGGGAAATCTGGAACAGTGAATGTTAATGAATGAACAAGTTGGCGGCCGCTGATCGATTTTAATTTCCTACCTTGTTTTGAAGTAAGCTCTAGTTTACACCTCGCAGCCATCAACAAAGGATTCAGGTCGGATATGGGGCTGCCAGTTGCTATGTTACCACCCAAACACTGACAGACATTGAAAAGCATAGTCACAAAATAAAAAGTTGAATACAACTAGCATGGAGTTTCTGCGTTTTACTATCCCAACTTCTTATTAGATTAGTCCGTTTTTAACTTCAATCCCGACTAAGTAACATATTTGGATTAAAACGATGTATATAGAATTAAAGAAATCCTAAAATCATGCAAAATGGATATAGCTTTTACTGTATCTTAAATAAATAGCCCCAAGGATTGATCTTTGACTAGTGTAACTGAGCATGTGAACAGTTGACCTCTTGTGTGTTCTTTAGTACTCCACAAAGTGCCAATCGCATGATCCAAATTCTATTTCTGGGCATCATCGGGCTGGAGTCAATCTGAAATTGAGTGTATGAAATAAACTCACAGCAACGTTCCTGATTTGATGTCCAGCAAACCAGCGAAGCATCTCTACAATGGCGGCAAAGACCCGCGTTTTACACTCTGATCAAACAAGGAAAAAAGGAAGAGGTTACTTGTGATGCACGAACCAAAACAACATAGAGAGAGCATACTTCAAGCTGGTTGTTTTTCCTTGTGGAGCAACACCCCACGGGAATTTACATGGCTTATTGGCATATATATTTACACAAAAATAAACTACCAAAGGAAATGGACATCTCTGATAGCAGAGTCTAAATAATCCGGCATTTTTGTACATAAAGCAATGGAACATTGCAGTTCAGTGTCTCTGATTACTTCACTGTTTTTACATGAATAAGAAAGCTCCTATTAACATAAGAACCGCAAAAGCCCCAAAAGACAGAAATATGGTAAAACAATGGTTCAAAATAAGGTTTAATTGGAACGCCATAGTGCAGTTTCATTGATGTTAGTAAAGCAATATTTCTATTCGCCGTTCAGAATCTACACTGATCCAAATCCCTTGAATGAGTGTCTCGTGAGGGAGTACTACACTCTTCTGGTACTGAATGTCAGCCTGCTGGAGCTGAATGAGGCATACTCTGGCCTCAAAGATGGCTTTCTACACTGCGAGCCTGATGAAGAGTCCAGTAAACTGACTACTTTCGCCACACCCTGGGGCACATACCGTTTGAAACAGGGAGATCTTTCACAAGATACTGCATCAGGCCCTGGATGGTCAATTGTAGTGAAAAACTGATCTAAAGATGCAAGGAGATTGGATTTATCCTCAACAGAGAGAACTTCCTCTTCAGTGTGCGTGAGGTACACTTCCTGAGCCATATAATCTTACAAAATGGCCTAACAGATGGTCCTTCTAAGATGGAAGTTCTACTCAACATGAATGGTGAATTATCTGTCCAAATTACTTGTCCAGTACTATAGAAAATTATTCTCCACTATTTCACAAGTTATCGAGCCTGTTAACACACTCACTTGCAAAGTGTCGAATGGTTGAATGCTTGCCATGACGTGGCCTTTGGTATAAAGCTGCAAAAGTTGCTGACCGAAGCGTAAGTCCTGGTCTACTTGTGAGAGATACATTGGGTGTGCTTTATTTCAACATATTGAAAAGCTCCTGAGCGATATCGAAACCAGGTTGAGAAGGAAATGCTTTCAGTGGTGTTCGCCTATCGCCTACATGTACAGGGAAGAATCCTGCGAGCATTGGCCTATGAAGCTAATGCCAATGGCTGATTCTCTCAGATATTCCTACCCTGCGAGTCTGGCAAACAGAAGTTCCGAACGGTTAATGCACTACAATTCCTGATGCTACATGATGAGGAGTGATTACATGACATCAAACGGATGACATCCTGTGATGACTTTTCAACTTGATCACAGTCGATCCGCAAAAAATGCCGAAGAAATTTTTTGCAACTAGTAAAGACCAAGATTTTGCCCTGTTGAGCATTTGGAACACACCAACTCAAGGCTGATTTCAGGTCTGTTTAACGGTTTCTTAGGCGAATACAAAAAAAGGCACTGATGCCAAAATTACGACACCAACTATGAATTAGCTGGAGCTTTACCAGATAGACAGGCAAAGTACTATAAACCGGCCCACAAAAGACCTGCCATGACTGATACAAGGTGGCAAAAATAAAAAATAAACATCTGTGGGAAAACATATGCAAGTACTCAAAACACACTGCACGTCTTCACTGACTCAGCCATCTAGGCGTGACTCCAGTGCCACCCAAACTTGGTTCAGCCGGATACCGCCTGTTTTAACTACAAAAAAACAACAATGCACGATAACCAGGATCCGGTAAACCATTTCCACCAAACGGCCCAAACTGCGACGATCCAGTCGCTGTAGACCTAAAGTACTTACATTCTAATAATATCTTCGATTGTATTCACTTGTAAAACAAAGGAATCATTTCAATCAAAAGAATCGTTTTAATCTGATCTGTCTGGAACAAAAAAGGGTGAGTGAATTAAGTTGGTTTTGGCAAAGGGAGTGAACAATTTATTTGGTATTTTCAGCTGTTCTCACGTTAATTGTAAATTTTCATCAGCTGTTGTTGCCTAATCGCATCACTCATTAACACATCTAAAAGTTTGAAGTAAGAATTCGTACATGGAAGTCTGCATGTTGAAAGCCTTCTCAGAAAATTTTGTTGAGTAACTGATAATGTACAACCAGCACGGGCATGACTCTTCGATTTTAAGCTCAACGTTAATGGACTTTTGAAACTAAATGTTCTAAATGCGATATTTGAAAACAAAAAATTCATGTACTTGCACATTTTCCACATTACCGAAAAGGGAGAACTTGGAGCAGCGTGTGTAATACACCTGCCCGAACCTTGCTTTTCTACACCTACAGAGGACGCTGTTCAAATTCTGTCACGGCGGCCTCAAGAAAGTTCTGGCCTACGTCAAAGGTTTGTTATTATTGTGCCCTTCTCGCGCTGGAGACAACTTATATATAAGTAAAAAGAACAGTTAAAATCTTACATACCCATCCCCTTAAATCACTTCAACCCGGTACACTTTACCTGGCTGAGCATGTATAATCTGCTTCAGGTAAAGATCTAGAGAGGTCAGTGACACAGAGGCCCCTACTCTCACCCCGGCGGGCGTGGTGTCAATGCGGATCAATTCTGGGATGTGGTTGACGTCAATAATGAGGGGATAGACCCAATTCTTGAATTTGACTTCAACACCTGCCATAAGTAAACAAAAGGAGACAATTTAATGGATGAAGTATTCATCGTTAGGAAGATGGATTTATTACTTCTGATCAACCACTGTAGCCATAATTGCATTTTTCTTCAGCAATCTGACCAGATCTCATGAAACGAGTTGAAAGCAATCTCTTACTAATGCTTTTCTCAAAGAAGAGATACAGTCTATGATTGCACTCGAAAGTTTTCATCTATTCTAAAGAAAGTATTAATAGCAATGTTTACCTAAAATCCTTGAAACAGCACCTTTATGTTTTAATTAATATTAGTTTAAGATTTTGTTTCGCTCTTTTTAAAATCTGTTTTAGGGGCGGTTTGGGTGTTATGCTAATGTGAATTTGCATAACCATGAGCAAAACTGTGGTGTAATCCAAGGCGCTGAACCTCAATGTTGCAGTGATCGTGCCCAATGAATGCCAAATTTTTAATATTTTGCTGTCGAAGCTTTCCATTTCCTTTCGCAATTTATGGTTGTTGAAGTATATGGTAATAACCCAGCGAGCAACCTTTTCTCAGAAATGTTTTCAAAAAGCAAATTTGGGAATATGCAAATTGAACAGTGTCTTTCTGGTTTAACATCACACGAACAATACCCTCACTTGTCTTGAAAAGCTAGGTAAATCTGTAATACTTAAACTGCGCACTTTACAATTCACTTAACTCAGGAAAGATTTTAAACAGTGTTCACACATTCAAGAAGAGTTTAAACATACAAAAAAGTGATTCTCAGAAAAATTCATTGCAATGATCCCTTAATTCATTTCTCATCAAAATCAAACATTCCACTGCACTCATCAAAATCCGGTATTCGATAATGTAGCCCAGACCTCCTAAAGGTCTCAGGTTGTTACAACTGGTATTGGCATATGGGTGCATTCATTATATTTGTATTATTCACATTTCATTCTGATCTTAATATTTCCAAGCTTACTTATGATGACTGCCTGTCCAGATCATCATCCCAAGATATGCCTCTCTGTATTACAACCTCCACACTCGAGGTATGTTTGTGCAGGTGCTGAGGTTTTCAGCCTTTAGTGATGAGGTTACTATAAATGTACAGAACATTCAAACCTTTTACTCACCAATTTCTGTGTTTCCAACAACCATCTTGGCTTCAGGATGCTTAACCTTTAGATTGAGCAGTTGCCGAAGTGTGGCTGGTCGTAACCAGGTCAAATTGTCACTTGAAAATGTTTGAATTGCTGGGTGTCCCTCATCCAACATAAGCTGTCGATGAACAAAGAGAAAACAGAGAATACGAATTGCATTAGACACATAACAAAAAAGTAAACCAACAAACATGTACGTACCTGCCAATTATTTTTGTGATCTGAAAGGTCATTGAATTTGCTGAGAGAATGTTTCCACTTCACAGAAAAAAGTTGACTTTGAACAGTAACGGTTCCCTATAAATATGGCATGGGCATAGAGAAAGTCGACAAACCTGAAAAAAGGAGTGCTTTATCTAAAACATTTCAGAGTCAATGATGTGCAGTGTATGCACAATTTTTGTTATTTTCAATTGTCTTCATACACCCTTCTATTTAGACAGCTTCGAAAGAACTAGCACCTAACAAATCTTACTAGAGAAGGTGTTGAATTGTAGAATGCACTGTGTAACTTACCATCAGCTCCGGAGGGAATATTGGTTCTTGTGTGGAGTCATACGGAGTAAACTCACTTGGGTCAAACAGCTCTGTTGAGACCTACACCACATGGAAACATCGGAATACCATATATAATAGGCCTACGTGGACTCGGAGTTTTCTCATTCCACCGAAAGTCGACGATATTCTGATATTATTGTTGTAAACAGAGTTTTAGTCTTGTAAATTTAAAGAAGGGAGAGATTTTTAATCATTAATCACCAAGGGGTGCATTAAGAAATTGAGTTGCATGGTCGGATCTACATTTTTGGGCTCTTTTATAGGTTTGCCGCAAAAGAAAGATGCGTTTATAAAAGGAAAAATGACAGCGTATCCCTGTAAGTTGGAGGGGACATTGTTTGAAGGCTACATTTAATAGGTTACTTGAAGGATCGACTAGAAAGTGAGCTTTATATTTAATTTGAATGTTTGCTAAATGTGGGTAAGAGGGTGCATAGGTAATCATCACAATGAAGAGTGTGTTTCTTATATGGTAGTGCTTCATGTATGTCTGAGATCGTACAATTTTGTTGAAAGATGTAGGCCTATTAAGAGAGACTTGTTGCACGGTGGCACCAAAATTTTAGGCTCTTTTGGTCTTGGTTTGCCGTCAAAGTAAGATGTTTTGCTGAAGAAAAGAAGCTTTGGATATGGTGGACCTGGATGGACATAGTCAATCATCAATATTGACGTCAATAATTATTTGTGACCAAACTTACGACCCACTCCTCAGTCGCAAATATTGATGCCAATATTTACGACCAAATTCACAACTCACTCTATGGTCGCGAATATTGCAGTGAATACTCACGACCTGAGAGTGATTCGTAAATTTCAGTCGCGAATATTGACGTCAGTATTGACAATTGGCGATGTTCCTCCAAGGCCAACATAATATGGGGGCTTTCTGTAGGCCATCCAATCAATGATTTAATGAGTACTGGATTGATCAATTGATTATTAATGTTGAAAAGCACTTTAGTAAAGTGCGCCCTCCTGCAATAGCTGCGTGCGTTGAACACGCGAAGTTTTTTGCATGTCGTAGGATTGAATCGGTTGGTAAATTAATTGCTTGTTTATCATTGTCATTCTAATACATTAAAACATAACAAAAATTAGTGTCCTTATTCAAAATTTATCGATGATTAAGAATCTAACCATTGTTTTTCACTTAAATAGGTTGCAATTGCCAGACTGTCAGAAATAGATGCAATTTCCCGTGCTCTTCAGTAAAGTTTTTCGTGTCCCTTTAATTTACCAATGGGTCTAGATATTATGTAACTTAGTGCTTTGTGTTTCCCTTCTCTGGTAATTTCAGACCATATACACGGGAACGAGTACCTGAATTATATCTGCCTATTCACATTATTGAGCCTTTGTTTTTCCGCCAACCCATTTATTTATATTTGTACAGGTGTGGAGTCTGAGGAAATAACGTTTCACAACACAAAACAGCAACCAGAATATCATTTCTTCAACAGTGTTTATGGCGATAGCACGACGTAATCTCCCGTTGTGCAAAGTATACTAGCGACAATTTTCTTAGATTGTGCGATTTGTGGCTAAACACAAGGCCACCAGACAAGCTCTGAGATAAAAACGGCAAGCACCAATTCATCAGTGGAGACTGCAGGGACAAGACCTACAGCCTTGTTTGAATCATATACATGAGCTCTCTCTCTCTCTCTCTCTCTCTCTCTCTCTCTCTCTCTCTCTCTCTCTCTCTCTCTCTCTCTCTCTCTCNCTCCATGCTGATGACAAAATCGATGGCCACATAAGTGCCTAGGCCACACTTAATTTCCAGTGGCCATGAAGCCAAGCTGGAAGCTACAACCCATCTCAACAACCGATTCAGTAACCACATTGGCAGCAACACTACTAGCCATGCCAGTAGCCATTCAAATTCCCATGTCAGTGTCACTAACAGCTTCGTCCTCTCCAACGAGAAAGAGAGGAAGCTTGCTATGGCTCCTTGTCAACCAAAATGGAAACACTTTATCTGCTTGAGTATCTGGATGTAATGGTCTTGGCCTTACCACTCTTTGGAATCGAAGAATCAGACAAGGCTGATTCGAGGCCGCCCGCTTGGATTCAGTTTTCCCAGCTTTTACTGTTTCCCAAACATTTTTTGCGACACCGTACTTGCGACGCATTCTGCGCATGTGCTGTGGGCATGGATCACTTTTGTGAACAAAAGCATGGTACTGTACCTTGATTCCCTAGTGATGCGATGCAGCTAAATAGATTTTTATGCCCAGGGAACATATTTATTTCCAAAGGATATTTCAAAAAGGATAGCTTTTATTGTACCGGTATGTGTAATTAAAGCTTTTATGTTTGTCTCTTTTTTTTGTGGACGGTGGAAGAGGGCTATCCTCTTTACTAAAATGTACTAAGTTGCAAGAAATATAAAAATTGAGCTTTGCAATACCTGCCAAATGATATAATTATTTCCAATCGAATTTGTTCACCACATTTTTTACAATATTGCAAAGAAAGTATCTAATTAATGAAATACAGCATTTGGTTGGTTTTCTTAAACAAAATAAGTAGGACATTGTCGTCATACACCACAATATTTTTGTAAATCTAGATAAATTTTGCTTCAAGGCAACGGTGCTAAAATCACCTTAGATCCTGTATTAAGTTATACGTGTATACATTTGTAATAACTGGCAGTGTTCTTGGTCTTAGCCTTGGCCACTTTGGCCTTGGAGACCCAGGACTTGGACTAGGCTTTAGCCTCGCAGGTCGTGGACTCGACTCCAACAGAGGTGAGACGAAGATAAGGAACTCCATCCGGCGAGGAAACGGCATCAAGCCGAAAACTAGGAGCAACGTATCCTGAAAGTTAAATAATGGCAGGTAAGACACTTTGGACAGAGAAACAGTCAGAACTTAAATGGAATCTCGCATTTAAACCAGCAATTATCAGTTTATAGGTCTTGATCCTCTACCAGTCTGCCAACAATGTCCGCCCGCACAGGCTACACCAATTCTGTATAATAGCCACTGCTTGCCCTTCGGTTAAGGCTGTACTTGCCACCATGCGTTCCGATTTGCCAAGGGCTTTTACTCTGCCCATGTCGGTTGCTCACAGTGGTAATGCTGCCTTGCCGTGTCTAGTTGCAACGTAGTGATGATCCCAAATACTGGTGCCCGTGTACGGCACGAAAATTGCAGAAACTGAAGTACTGCTAACCTGCTACAGCATTTCACCATTTCCTTTTGGGACTACTTTGTGTAGCTCCTATGCATTTCCTATTCTATTCCCAACGCCACTATTTGGTGTCCCCTTTTTTTGTGATACCGGTACCCATTCTTCAGCGCGGGTGTCTCTTACCATTCTCGCATCACGTGAACTTAAACCTATGGGCTGCTTTTACCAACTACCCCAATAGACACCTCACTCAGTCAGCCCCAAACCAAGTGCTAATCCAGGAATTATGAACCAAATTTATTTTGAGCTCAACGGTGGCAGCTACTGCAGGTGGAATCAGCGGGGAAGTTTCAGTCAATAGCGATGAAGATCACTCTGAGTTCCACTGCTTTGACACCATGGTTGATGGCTGTGCCAAAACAATTGTTCATATTAGTGATTTACAAACGTATTTTATTTTAAAGTATAAGTTGCGGAGACAACCGAACAAAGATGACCTCAGTTTTGAGCACGATGTTCACCCGCTTGCCGATACCTCGTCCACCTTCCATATAAGTTGTATGGTGACATCATGATATGAAGATCGAAGAGATCCCTCCCTAAACTAAATTAACCACCTATGATTCCAAAGGGACTTATGGAATCGGCATTGGTCGTTCAAAAAAGAGTGCTCTAGAAAGGAAGGCCGAGTTTAAAGCATACTCCACAGCCTTCGTCACCTGTGGCAGGCTCCCTCACATTCATCGGACTGCCTCTTTGAAGGCCATTAGTACCAAAGGTGCATAACTTCTATAGCTGACATCAGTGGGTGCTCAAAGGTTCAATGAAAGTCTACAGTCTAATACCTCACACCAAGTTACCTCAATAAGGGAAAAGGTGGTGCCGCTGCCTCCTATAAAAAGAAGGAATTCGGGCGACCAGTGTTGGCAACAAATAATAAATGTAACAGGTTTGGAAACCTTTAAAAGAGAAGAAACCATTTTGTATTAAAGCACTGTCCGTATTATGAAAGGGAACAATGGCTGTCACGTTGTGAAAGGTTGACCAGCTTCTGTCAGTCAGAGATTTGAGTGGACAACAGAAAGCCACAGACCGGAGGTTGGAGGTGTGCCCGTCATCAGCACCCAGATGGTCAGAAATGCAACCCACAAGTCATGTCGTAAATGCAACGATATCCACTGGACGGTCCTCCATATCTTCTCAAACAGCCAGGATAGGTGTCATACCACTCCTGTTTTAGCGCCAATTTTTTTCTATGGCGATAGCAGTCCTTCAAACCCAGAAGGATGGAGCCTGAAAATTGCACCAATCATTTGTACGGTGTTGGTACATAACTGAGGACTTACCTACTGTTGGAGGATGGGTCAAATTTGTCCGTGATGCCAACTGATATTGCCAAAGGTCTTCACCTATTAAAGGGACAGCGAACGAGATTGCGATCTTGACAGCTCAAGATATCTGCTTTCCCTGTATGGGACAGGTTTTAAATGTTGGTATTGCTCCTCTTGATGATCCAGACCAGCAAATTGCGGTGAACAATTTTTTCCTCTCCTATTCTCAGATTATCTGAGCATACAAGATCTTCAGAGACGATGACCTCATCTGCAAGACCTTCCTTCACATGATTGCCAAAATGTGAGACCTCTTTGAAGTGACCACCCAGCCCTTGTGCTCCACAGAGAGTCTCGTTGGTTCACAGAGCTTCCCTGTTGCGGTCAGAGCAAAACTGGAATGGCTATACAAGGGCCCACCATCCTTCAAGGATGACGGGCTTGAGTAAGGTTTAACTGCGTGTCCACCAATCAGGACGCTGTACTTCACGACAGTGTTTGTGGACAGTGGACAATGGATTTCAAGATGTATACTGAGAAGAAACATATCAAATTAAAGTATGACCTACTTTAAGCTAACTACGCCTATTTCAATGTAAATGGTGTTTACTGAGTGGCAACTATGCTGCTATGATGCTCGATAAACCCACTTTCTCTCGTCCAGACAGTGCCTCCTTCATTAAAGAGAAAGGAACAGGATCTTTTGAAAGACCCTGATTTGGCAAGGATCCTCTGAAGGAAAATAAGGGAACTCAAAGAGGCAGGCCTTGTCTTTACCGTTGCCCGTCAAGGGGGGGACGAAGAACCAGAGTCTAACTGTTACATGAGTTCGAATGGAAAGTTCCGTCATTGTGCCTTTCACTACGGTAGTGATTGGTGTTTTTCTTCGACTTCGGAGGTACCAAGTGGTCATTTGTGGGGACCTTGAGGCCCTGCTTGTGTTTTAACCTTCAAGAGCGGCCAATTCATGTCAATATTTCTGTGAAAGGAACCTAACTACAATAAGGAACCCAAAGAACTTGAATGGAATGTCCTTTTTGGACAACATCACATCCACATTGTGCTTTATTTGCTCTTCATGAGTAAGTTAAAGACAGCATAAAAGACATCCTTCATAGTGTCCTGTAGTCTTTGTACGTAGGCAGTTGCCTGAATGGTAAGCCCAACGGGTTGGCAAGACAGAGCAGCTTGTGGGAAAATTGCATACGGCCTTTGGTACCTGAAGATTCCCAAACGTGAAATGTGCAAGTAACAAACTCACAGTGGTCGCCGATCAACCACCCCATGTATTTATATCTGATCACCCAACAACGCATTTAGCGCAAGTACAGGATGATAAAAGAAGACAATGAAGAAATGTTCAGTTTTGGAGGAGGGGGAAAACCCCGGATAAATGTTTTGGGGAAATTCAGGTAGGGTCTGAAAACCCAGTCTACATGTGGATCGAGCCAGATTCGAGCCCAGACTCCCGGAGGTGGAAGGTAAGAAAAGAAACACTGCGCCAATTTGAGCAATGTTTCTCCAGAGGAAGGTGTCTTAGGTCTTCGCCGGAATTTTGAGGAGAATATCCTGACAAACCATCTTTTGCTCTCAGAAAAGTCCATCTTTGCACGAAGGACATTGTACATCATGCGGTGGGCCGGGGATCCACTTGGATATCTGATGCCATTCATATTGACGGGCATGATGTTTGTTCTAGAACTAATATGTAGGCTACATACACCACACATATTGGTACATTTAGTTGAAATGCACTGGATTGCACACTCATCAATTATTGCTGCGGGAATCTGTTTTTGACCATCGTGTGACACCAAGAGGCGGACGTTATAACCATTGAAGGTTTTTCAGGCGTTTGTGCCCTGTATGCCATCCTTGGTATGCCATCCTGTGCACCAGTTTGAGATGGAAGCTTTTCTCAAACTCGAAATCTTTAGGATAAGTGTCATCGGATATATCCGATACTGATCCGATTACGCCTTCCACATTGCTCTAGGGTGGCTGAACTGCGCTCCACCAAAGATAGTTTACACCGAGCAGTATGTCCACAATCGTTGCTGTTGGTGTCAATGCCAGCCATTAATGCAGTAGTTTAGGAAAGAGTTTGTCAACACATAATCTTCCTTTAATGCCAGTCCGCCAGAAACGACGAAGGCAAGCGGGGGATCTGGCATTGGGGTATCTTGTCTTTATGACTGATCCACAGCAAATCCGTGCTTCTTATTCTTTAGCCCGCGTTATTGAAGCACCAGCTGTAGATACGGGTATAAGTATGCGCTGTGAATGTAGAGACTGGTAATTGAGTTTACATCTGCGAGTTTCCCTTATGTGTACTTTTAACGTTATAGCTAACTGTTACTATACTGTTGGTGACGTTATTGTTCTTGAAATACAAACGTTTGTAAACGTTACATTTTGACGGCTGAAAGACAACTGTTGCCCACAGTTTAAGGGCAGCTTTTTCTCAAACCACTTTGGTATACAATGCCTTCGTGCGACAGCTGTGTGCGGCGCACAAGCTACGCTTTCCACACGTTGGGCAGGCCCGGATCGGATCATAAGTTAATGGTTTGTTTCATAAATATTTAATATTACCATATAAGAGGAACATAATCATCATTCCTTTTTAATATTGACAATTTAATGATGACCATGACTCGACACATATTTCCAATTCAAATGGGACCAGATTGCCGGGCCGTTAGAAATTGATGCAGTTCCTTTTTTTTCTCGTGTGTGACGATATTTGCGTCCATTAAAAATACAAATGGGTTTAGTTATGTAACTTTGTACCTTTGTTCCTTTTTCTTGTAACTTTAGACCAGAAACACAGGAAACGTACCTAATATTTTTGCCTGCTCACACCATTAGCCCCGGTTTGTCCACCATCCCAAACGATGTATGTTTGCAATTAAGGAGTCAGTGGAAGTAAAAGTTTGCACAACAATAAACAGCAGTTTGAATACTGTTCCCTAAATATTCTACAGGTAGGGTTTTAGTTAATGTAGTTTAATTTTTGGTGCATTTAGGTGAGAGAGTGCACAGGGAATCATCACAATGTAACGGCGTGACGTGTACAGTATACTTGTATGTACAAGACGGAGGGGGGGCGACGGAAGGGTGTTGTGCGACAAGCGCCCCCTACGTTCAAACTCTTCGGTATTGTGCAGCGATGGCGTGCACATCCTTTGTGAAGCTGCGTGAACATGGACCACGATCAAAGAACACTCGGCAATAGTTTTTATTGATAATTTATAAATTTTAACTGTGACTCGGAGTGTTTAAATCCGTATGATATATTTTTTTATATGAGACTTTCACTTGTATCAGAAAAGTTAATTTTTGAGATGAAAATTGTCTCAGGGGGAGATATTTTGTTTACCTGCAATTCGTTTTTTGACCGTGCCGTGCCAACTTGCCAACGCGTTGCCCGCATACGTGTTTGTGTGCGACGGTCGGTTGTGCGTGCTGCATCTCCACGCGCTGTAAATTTTGATCAAACGTGAAGAAATTTTTGACTATACGCGTACCCAAAAGCAATGGACAAAATTTGAATGGAACCCATCACTCGTTTTTTTTAATAATAGTTGTAAATATTCAAACAGAAATCTCACGTTACTTGTACTCAGAGACGCCATTGTTGTTTCTCAGCTGCTGAATTTCCATGTAATGATAGTGGAGTGCAGATGTGCATAGAAACGGGGCTTCAATAGTCTGGTGCTGACATACGTTTTGGGTCTTTACTGTAACAATTATTAGGATACAACTCCAGACTGGTTCTGTAAAGATTACATGACACAGACTGCATTTTTACGCGGCGGGTTCCACAGCGCTATCAGAAAAAAAACTACGGTAGTACCGCACGGCAGCTATGCGCGCCTAACATCTGACCCTGTTACTGGGTAGAGCGCCATCTATAACTTTGCACCGCGCCTACTGACTAGCACCATCTGTCACGTCACACAACCTCCTGACAGGCCTAAATGCCCTCATTTAGATTAAGCCGAACAAAATTTCCATTAGACGTGACAGGATGATCCTGTTAAACAAGAAACAATTGTTTACATAAACAACAGTGTGTAATACTTTTAATGAGATGCTTACCAAAAGTGCAGGGTCAACAACCTTTGATCCTTCATTTAGATAACGAGGGTTATCATCAAATTCGGTAGTATAACTCTTTTAACACAATTTCGATTTATTGTACAAAAATAAATGTTCTGATTGGAAATAAAGTATCCCTCCTGGGGTAGTCCGCGGACAATCATTTTAAAGATATTTGTCTGGGTTCTTCTAACTCCTTATATATTTAAAAGGTTCGCAAGGACTACTTAGTCTGAACGTCTGTTTTGGAAGGTTTTTGGAGAAGAGAGAACAATCCATCAAGATATCCTAGTAATATTTTCGCTGTCTGACTTCACGATGAATCTCAATGGTGTCCCCAAATGTCCCGGTGTTGATTTCTTCACGGTGGTCGCCGTCCAGGGGATGCTTGGCCTCCGTAGTTCAAACCTCTTAGCGTCCTTGGTTGCTTGGCTCCTCTGCTGGGGGGGCATCTTCTTCGGCAAGGGGGGTGTGGAGTTGTTGCTGCCTCTTTGTTGCTCGGGGCGCCCTCTGGAGGGGTATAAATTTCCAGAGGGGGCGTGCTCGGATGGACTTCTTCTGTCTGCTGTTCCTCCCGGGATGGGGATGCCTTCAGTGGTGACAAGGGTTTGAAATCTTCCAGGACTTCTCCCGAGGTATGTTGATCTTCGGCTCAGGGCTGCTTCTTCCTGTGGGACTGGCAGCCTTCTCTGTTTCCAGCCTCCTTACTTCTTTTGCCGGCTCAGCCCAGTCGGCCTCTTGACTTTCTTCCTGGCTCTGGCCTGGATTTACGTCATGTAGATGGGGAAGACGGTCTTTGTGGGCGGTCTTGTGGTGGCGTCGAAAGTTGTCCCGCCGCAAGTCCTTGTAATTGCATATACCGATAGGAGGGGGGATGGATTTCCTTGTGCCGGAGTAACCCCTTTAGGTGGGTAAACTTCTTTGGGCACCTGGTGCATGAGAATTGGATCTTTGCGCCGACCTCCATTTTTTTCCTTGGCTATGCTAACTTATTGGTCCTTGATTCAACGTCTGTAATATACCAAAGGAAACAATTAATAAGTTATTTATTCCTTAATCAAATTTTAAATATTCATGTTTCATAATGGTGTAGATGTTATCGGTATCTTATTGGTAGCTTATGTTCTCGCTTTGGGTATCGCCTTTTCTTTTCAACGTTGTCACCCGTCTTATCATGACCCAACTCTACTGATAGTACTCGGTTCAAGCGCTGTGTTATCTTTGCCTGAAACTTCAAGACAATTGTTTCCTCTTTCTGAGGTAACCAAGATCTCAGGATGACTGTTTCCTTCATCCCTACCA